CCTACCTCGCAAATCATCTTAGAATAGGGACAGCAGGCTGGCTTGCTCTGCCTTCTTACAGCTCTGGGATCTGAGCCTGTTTGTTCTCACCAGATGACACTACCAGTGAAAAATGGTGAACACACCATAATGGGGCAGTGGGTGGGGCAGGAGGGTGTATTGTCATATTCACCATTGCCCAGAAATTGTGTTGAGCAGATGGAGTCAAGGGTTCAGATAACCAGATGGCAAGGCTGTTGCTTTGACAGCAGCAGGTAGATGCAATTTAAACCACAGATGTGGAACGGCATCTTCACCCTTCTGGAAACCTTGAACATCAGGAAAGCAGAGTTTCAGAATTTCTCTCTCTCTCTCTCTCTCTCTCTCTCTCTCTCTCTCTCTCTCTCTCTCTCTCTCTCTCTCTCTCTCTCTCTATCTATCTATCTATCTATCTATCTATCTATCTATCTATCTATCTCTATCTCCCTCCCTGGGACATGGAAAAGCAATTAGGAACTCAGGGAGAAAATATAACCTGGAAGCTTGAAGAGAAGGAGCGCGCACACTGAGAGAGTTACGAACAGACTCAGTAATAGGTGTAAAACTCAGCGGGGCTGCTTTGAGTTGGACCTAAAGTGGGTTCATTGCAGGATGTATTGTAGTGAACTACCGAAACAATCTCAGCAGAAGCCGCTCATTTTGTTTAACTTGCGGTTGGCAGCCGTTGGAAGTCCCGCTGCTGCTGTCCTACGCATTTCTCGGCTAAATCCGGATGCGAGCTTTGGGGTGCTTGAAATGGGGGAAGGGCCGAGTAGGAGAATTCATTTTTTATTCAGTTTGCACGGGCACCCACAAATATATAACACACGCGTGTATTACATGCCGATCTCGGCCATTGCCTTCGCCCTTTCATTTTGCTCCCCGCTGACCAGAGACCCATACCTGAGACCAGACTTCCCTCCAGGGCGATTCATTAAAACATGTAGACCGCGAGGCTGTTGAGGGAGAGGGGGGAGGGGAGTTTGTCAGCTGGCCTCTGCGTCGAAATGCTGCAGAGTTCTTGCTATTTAAACTTTTCCACTGAGTAAAGGTGACCACATATTTATGGAATTTGTTGCGACCAAATAAGAGCGGTGCTCCCACTGATCGATATGGGGAGAAGACTTTTTTAAAGCGTTTTTTTTAAGAGAGCATTGTACAGTTTTTCTTCCCTGTATGTCAGATTGACAGAAAACAAAAGACATTTAGAATCTTAAATTTCATTAGTGAAATTGGACTTTCTGTAAAATGTGCTTGGATGGGAGGCCATCATGAAATCCTAAGGCTGTAGATTAGATTAGGAAGTTGGAATTTCCCCCCCCCCCCCAAGGTAGGAAAATCACAAGCATGTGCTCTGCAATCACCAGGAGTCCCTCGAAGTGGCCCACACCTTTTACAACAGCTGGATTTGTCCATCTTGTCTTCTAAACATGTGAATGGCAAAGTTATCCCATTTGTCAGAGGCCTCGGAACCTGACCACTTGTGACCTATATCCTATTGATTTTATATGCCTTAAAACACCAGAAACAGGACATGAATATCATGGATTTCAGTGGGTTTGAATTAGGTAAAAAAGTAGTTAAACACAGATTTTGTAAATAGTGGAAGTGTTTCTGAACTTGAGTCAGTAATCAGCATGCGCAAATATTTCCCAGTCTTACTTCCTGCTTTCTTTCCCTATTAAGATCCCAATTTCTGCTCCTATGGCAATCACCTTGACCTCCATTCCCTGCCTCAAATTTTAGGTTAGGATAACCAAAACCTACATCCACAAAATTCTCCGTGCTAGTCACTCTATTCACTGTCTTCTGAAGTGGCAATAAAACTTACTGTCTGAAAACTGCGGACTACATGCAAATCGGTCTACGGATTGAGTCCCAAGGAGATCCACTTTTGCACCTGGGCGCTGATGGAGCCCAGCCTGCAGCGAATTATTTGAGTTTGCAATCGGCAACTGTATCCATAATGCCAAAGCGGAGGAGGTCTGTATGTTGTGTGTGGACGCGCGCGTTTACAGCACTTTTAACTTTTCCTACTGTTATTGTAAACAAATAACCTGCATCTTTCATCTCGATTTAAATATAGATTTGTTTATCACTGTCATCTTAGGCGGATTAATCAGATACATTTATTCGCAATTTGGCGTCTGGCACCCCATTTTAGGAATGCCTTATCACAAGGTGTTAATTGGGGCCAGCCAGGCACTTATAAGTTCCATTAAACAGTGTGAGGACTTTTCACGAGTTTTTTTTTCCTCCTCCCTCCCTCCCTCCCCTTTCTTTTTTCCTTCTTTTTTTTTAAACACTGCAGTGCAAAAATATACAGGTTGCGTGGAAACGCTACTGAGGGAGGGGAATCGCTTTGCTACTCGGCAATTGGCGCAGGGCAACCGAGGAATAGAGGAAAAGAGGGAGCAAATGGAGATTGCTTAGAAGATCAACAATCCAAATTGGACTGCATCTGTTTAAAGAGTTTGCTTTGGAGGCTCCTCGGTGGCACGGAACAAAAGACACCCCCCCCTCACCGCGACAGAGAAATCAGACAACCTTCGGAACATACAGGTTTCCTTCGCGAGGAAAGGGCTATCGAATTGGAAAACCTGCGCTTTCTGGCTGAAAATGGTTGGGCGGCGCACTTCGCCTCTCACCTCCTGGCTGGGGTCCGCTCTTGACATCGGCGCCCTAACGCCGAAGTGCCGGGTCCAATTCTCTGCCTGCAGCCGGGGGAAGGATGCTAGCAGAAGTCGTCCCTTGCACAAGGGGGCTTCTGAAGCCACGCCGCGGGCTGGCTCGGCCTTGGTTTCAAGGAAGCTCCCGGAGGCCCCTTCTTCAATCCAAGGAGAGAGTCAGACGCAGTAAGTCCCGCGCGCGCGAGCTATCTCCTCCCCCCCCCCCCAACTAAAGTCTCGGCTGCAATCCCCTTACAAAGAAAATGGTACCTTTATCTATTTTATGTTACAATTATTTAATTAAAATTGCACTGTACGTGTATATTGATTTTAACTTCGCAAGCGCCTAGGATCGTTGAGCATCTGGTTCAAATCAGATTTGTGCGTACAAGCTTCGGTGTGATAAAAAAATGATTTAGAAAATTCTATCCAGAAATTGCATAGAACAGATCCCTGTTCTTTCGAATTAAGCTGCAGGCGTGACTTCCACTTGAAATCGAAGCGCTTCGGTTCCAAGGAAGGTCTCTGCTGCTCGACGTAGACAAGGGCTGTCGCTTGGAGGTTTAAAATAAAAATAAAAAAAGGAATGGACCTGGCTAGCGACGCAGCTGCGCAAGATCCAAGGATTCCTTCTCTTCGTCCCTCATTTGAGCGTGTTGCCATTTCAGGGAAGCTCCCTGAGCGAAGCGGCATTGGCGCATCGCGGAGCACATTTAAGCCCAGCCCGGACAAGACTTCCTTTGGCTACTGGCGCGAGTCCACATTTTCCCAAGCAGAGCAGGAGAACGCCTCGGTTGCTCTCAGTGCCAAATTAGCTGCCGACGGTCTCAAAGCGGCTATGGGCAAAGGCGCCTGACTCCGGATTCACTGTCTCGGACTGTAGCTATAACGTAGGCATCGAGACCGCTAGGCGCTCCAGAGATGTCCGGCTTCGCTCCTTCTGGAGGAGGAGGAGGGTGGATCCAACCGACTTAAGAGCGAACTATTCCCTTTCTGCTTATCTGGACTAGGTTTTACCTCTTCTCGCGCGGACAGGCGCTGGGGGGGGGGGGGGGGGGCGGTGATGTTTTGGGTAAAATTCTTGTTCACTATGGAATCTGGAGTTTTATGGCTGGGCAAGGCAGGCCAGCCTTTTGGTTGTGCGGGCAGCTTAAGAGCGGAATGGGGTATAGCAACTTTATTCTCTTCTACCACCCTGTTCTACCTACCTTGTTCCTAGTCGGCTGCCAAAATTATTTTATTTTGGAATAACAGCACTACTTGTTGCTTCAGAACAGAACCTCAGTCGGGCACCCAAATCTTGATAAGCATTTGCAGTAAAAAAAAGGAAACTTCTCAACAACTAATACAATAAGAAGTCCTTATCATTGTAATACATTTATTATAAATTATGTACAGATAAGCATACCCCCAAATAAAATTAATGATTTGTTTTAAAGCCTTTTGTGACCTCAATATCTGATACTATTTATAGACTGTGAAAACAAGAGGCACAACACTTTCCATATAAAACAGTTGAAAAAATACACTCACTACCTACCAATAAATAGACATTTTGACATACTCACAGCTTTAGTGCCCACTTTCAATTTAGAATTTGCTTAAATGAAGAACTCCCAAGCATATCCTCTTCAACTGCAGTCATAACTAGAAGTAAACTGAGTATTTTGCCATAGCCTACAATTATGCCTAGACACAGAGCTGTACATGTTATATGGAATCATTATTTGCTATTTTTGTAGTAATATTTCACTGCCATGAGATCAAAAGTCCCTGGTCCAAAAAAAAAAGTTTTAGTTGCTAAACTAAGACTTTTGTTCTTGCATATGTTATGAAAAATTGCTCTAAAGGAAAAGCCTCTGATTATTTTTCAGATAGTGAGCAAAAACAGATCCAATTTAGACTCCCTTTTTACAGAGATTTCTAAAGGAAATTTAGAATTTCCTTTTTTAAAATTGATTTGCAATGCATAAAACATAACCATTAATTAAAATGTGGATATGTATTATTTACCCCCCCCCCCTTTCTGACCATTCCAAAGGAAAAGCTAATTTAATCTTAGAATACTGCTTAAGCATTTTCCCTTAAACCTTGGGAATGAGCAGAAGAGACTAATTATTTTTTTTTAGTGCTACTTTGTTTCTTCCATTTTTTTTTCTGTGGAAGTCAGACAAAAGCTTTGGCACATTCTATAGAATTGCACAAGACCATTTCAAAAGGTGACGATACCAAAGGTTCCTCACCAAGGAATCTCAGCACCACCACTGAACATGTACAGTTAGTCAAATGTTGGGACACCAGGACTCGAAACACTTAAGAACTGGTATAAAAAGCATAGTAGCCCATGCCTTTAGAAACATCTTTGCCATAGTCCTCAGCATTAATATCCTCACATTTCATTGTTGGAGAGTTTTCATTGCTGGAGCTGTTTGGGGACAGTCGCCGCCTTTTACAAGCACCAGTATAAACTCCAGAATCATTTGAATCTAGAGATTTTATGGATGGAGGTGTCTCAATCCAAGATGACCCCATTTCTTCTTTCACTTTTTCTTTTGAAAGGAGGTCTTCGGAGAAACCCGGAGGGCTTGTTCTTGAGGTCCAAGGTAAACCGGTAGACATTTTCCTTGGGTAAGAGCCTCGACTTCCCCATCCAGCCACAGAAGAAAAGGTCGGATCTGGATAATACCCCAATGCATGGGATGTCTGAATGGGAAGGGATTTGATACCATAAGAGAGTAAGCTACTTGGAGAGTAATCACTTTCATAGGAATTCATGTCCAGTTTGTTGGCCCCAGACTGTTGGACCGGAGTGACAAACCATCTCTGGGGTGGATTAGTCACTTCTTCAGTTTGCTGCGGAGAGAGGAGGCCATTTGTCTGTGGTACAGCTCTTTCACCATTATAGAATCTAGCTGGTGGCAGGTTGTTGACAAATTGTTCCTGGAAGAAGGGCTGTACAGTGTACCGGGCTCCTGGGACAATCTGGTGGGATCTAGGAGAATCCGTAGGAGATGGAGTTAATCTGTCATTTTCTGAAGCTGTGTACATGCTACAAATATAAAAGAGAAAGGCTAAGATACTGGTTTTTTTGCCATTCAGAAATTTGATGTTAATATGTATGGAACCTGAATGGGGCTCTAAGCAGAGTTCACTGGAATGCCATCTTAATGCTAAAGATTGTATGTCCAATGTACACTTTTTTTTCCTATTAATACTGCTAATTAAAGATAATAAAGAAAACTCATGTGTTTAAATAAAGATAATTAATGTGTTTAATTTAAATTTTTAAAAAGTTATATTCCAGCCTAAACATTTTTTCTACATCTAGTAGTCTCTACTAACCTAACTCACACATTTATTCCAATGCGCAATGTACATTCTGTCTATTCAGAAAATCAACCCCTTCATTCAATAGAATTTACTCCCAAATATATATATATATATATATATTGCTTTGTTACAATAGGTGCTGGTAGAGTTTTGTTAGTTAACAGATTTGTTCTTTGCTCAGTTGCAAAGTCAAATATAAAATTCAAAGTAAGTATACTAATTAAAAGAAACATTATGAGCTAATAGAAGTCTTTTAATGTCCTTCGCACTATGTAGAAATACACGAATCATTACTTACGAATCATAGTTGTCCCTGAAACCTTTTGCAAAAGGGTTATGATCAATTTTAAGCTGTGTGATCTGGAAAGTAAATCAGAAAAATAGCATGACCTATTTAGATATGTTATACCCAAAAAGACAAATGCCTTTTTGTGTGTGTAAAAAGGGGGAAAAATTACATGGAAAATTAAAATTTCTATATAAATATTGCAGGTTGGGTGGGTTACACAACCTGTCAGGCAAGGAATGTTGACTGGCGAATTCCAGGAGGACTTCCTCCACCGCCAGTCCTCTAGAACCTTCTTTCTCTGGGACTGAGGATGACCCTGACCCTGTTGGCCTTTTGTAAGGCCTTAGTCACCTGACTTTGTGTCCTCATGGTATGAAGGGTCCTGTTTCCTGGCTATGTTGATATCCATGATTATTTTTCTCATCTGCCATATATATTTAATTTGTATTATATTGCAATTGTTTTTAACTGCTTTATTATTGTTTGCTGTCCAGAGTCACTTGCTTGACATTGGCAGCTGTACAGAATGAATGAATGAATGAATGAAGGAATGAAATGAAGGAATGAATGAACCAGAAAATAAATTTATTTATAAATCTGCTAAATAGATTGGTGGAACACAGATTGATGGAAATAGTAATTTACATGCCACACTAATACTAAAACACTCAGCCTCACAAGTCTGTTCACTTCCATGTTTTTATCACTTAATTTAAAAAGGGCATGAGGTGAAAGAGGATGCTATGCTACCGTTAAAAAACCAATTAGAGTAGTGAGATTATGTTATCCTTACATCAGTGTTCTGATATGCAGTAACAGCTATGAACTGTGTTTCAGGAAAGTTGAAAGTTTGTGTTTTAGTAGAGTCATTCATATCTTCAACACCATCTTCTGTCACTTCCACAATATGGAGACGAGGCTGATATTTGTGCAGGGACTGTAGAACAATCATCTGGAAACAGTTTAGCCATCTTTTGTTACAAGACAAATATATTTAAAATCTATCAAATTTTGTACAGAATTAGGATTAGGATTCATGGCCTATTTTTTTCATTTACGTGCCAGTTTATCTCTGTTAAAAGGCAAGGCTGAGTCAATATTCAAGACTGCTGGACCAATGTTGTCTGATTCAGATCACATTTAAGTACATTTTTTTACCTGAGTATTATTATTATTAGCCCCTTTGTTGTTAGTAAGTTTGAGTTTTCCAAAAGAGATTTCCTGTCTCATCCAGTGGGCTCCAGTATTGGGAGATTCAGGATGAATGTAAACCTTATTGCCTATTAGAAGGAGTGGAAAACAAATAAAAATATGTTTTAGCTCTGTCCTTCTGTACCAGAGACACTGACATAACCACATATCAGCCAAAGCATGTACCTATAAGTATCAGGTTTAGAAAAAAGGCACTCTTGTTCAAACACTTGCACATCTAGTAATATGCTGCCACTGGCTTTTTCAGCCTTTGGAAATGTAGCATCCATAATAAAACTAAGAATACATCATAATAAAAAGATAATTTCCTTGCTAATTATTTGCAACATCTTTCAACTATATCCAGCCATCACCTTAGCAATTTAATCATATATACAGGTGTTTTTTTTATTCTCTTAACTATTGTTGAAATGACCGGAAGAAACTGTAAGAGGGAAATAACTCTATATCATTTCCCACATTTTGGGCACAAACAGAAGTCATGAAGATCTCATTTAAAAAGTGGGAGAAATATTATTCGCCCACAATGAAATTATTGACTAAAAGAAGATATACATGAAGCAGGAATGCATCTGTGTTCCTACTCAACTAAGTGTAACGTGCTACAAACCCCTAGGCTGAAAGAGGAAGGCCAAAAGCAAAACAAACAAAAATTAAACCCCTTCCTCCACCAGCTGTAGTCATAGGCCTTACCTAATAATATCCTACCTTGCATATTATTATCAGCTTTGCCACATGTCACCCATTTTCCCCCCTGGAAGCGCCAGTGATTAGGATCTGCAAGCACTACTTCCACAAAAACGTTGTAATGGGCAGTAGGATTGAGGCCTGTTATGTTGAAACTCAGGAAAGGAAACATCCGCCTGAAACGGGAGGGGGGGGGAAAGAGGAAGAAAAAAGAAAGGGGCTTTTAGAGAAGGAGCCTGCAGCTATTTGCCAAAAACTCCTGCAGAGTCCCTCTGGCAGCATGTTTCAGCCTTGGCTAGCACCTGGGCAAAGAAAAGGAGGCAGATGGTGGTCCCCTTACAGGTTTTATATTTAGAGAGTCACTGGGAGAGGGTTTGGCTCTAAGCATCCTCTCTCTTTTGCAAGGATGCGGGGAAAGAAAAGATCTCATCCCCTAGCAAAATTCTGCCTTGGATAATAAAGATTCTCCAGCAGTTGTTCCACAGTTCTCCTATGTAAATGTGCTGATCTCCAGTTTCATCATCAGTTTTGAGGGCTGGAATTTTAACTTTTGAACCTCAAACCCTGATTTCCTGGGACAGGTATTATTCTCTGCACTGAAGCCATTTGCTGTTTCTAATAATTATTCAAAGCAAACCCATTGGGGGAAAAGTAAGCATTCTGCTGATTCTGTCTCCTTGAAATCTTAAAATAGAAACTTCAGTCCCACGATTTGCTTTGAAAAAAGACAGCAGTGTGATTTCCCAGCAACTTTGATCAGACTAATTTCCAAACTAATGGTACAAGAGTCAGGTTGTTACAACATATTAAATAAAAACTAAAAGGCAAATTGAGATTCATAAAATCAGAATAGTAAATGCAATTCTGTGTCTCTTTCCAAGAAGATCAGAGCTAATGTGAGGTTCTAATGCACATTAACACATATTGTAGCACCAGTGCTTAGAATCTAGTCTAATTACAGTAGAGGGGAGCAAGCTAAGAAGTGTGGACTAAAAAAAACATTGCATTCTGAAATAGGAAAGACAAGAAACCTCGGGAGACCATTAAAAAAAGGAGACCATTAAAAAAAAGCAAAAACAGAACCCACTCATAAGGGCAGCCAGAATCTCAGTCATTTGCTGCAGATTTCTTTTCTCTTTTGAGTGCAACTGGACCGTCTAATCCTCCTTTCCAAAGCATGTTTCCAAACATACTGGTTTCGAAGAAGCGAATTTATTCTTTTCGAAACCAGATGTTTCCAGGGCGCACAAAGCTGCTTCCAACCCAAAGCTTAAATCCGGACGAGAGGACTGCAGCTCCATTCTCCTTTTGACACCCGCCCCAGGAATGCAGTCGTTAACACAGATGCTCCGGCAGGAAAGCTGCGCTCCGAACCCCCCCCCCCCCATATCAAAGCCTACCTGCCCTGCTTGGTAATGATCATCTCGGTTTGATGTCGGTGGAACTTCAGCCAGAGCGGCCGATTGCAGAGGAAAACCTGGGCCCGGAGCCCCCCTGCCCCGCCGGGCATCGTCAGTCCCCCTAGGCCGCCGCAGGAGCCCCCCGCCGCCGCCGCCGGCGGATAGGGGTTATAGAGGCCACCGGGAGGTGCGCCTTGGCCATACTGATACGTGCTCGCGGCTGCAGCGAAGGGCGTCCTACCCGCTGCCGTCGAAAAGCTGCCCGGCGGCGTCAGCATAGAACCGTAGGGATAGCGCGCTCCACTGGGCGCCTGGTAAATGGAGCCGGACTGCGAGCTCCCGGCCGCCCCAGAGTACGGAAAAAGCGAGCACGGACTGCCCAGCTCGGCACTAGCTTGCGGGCCGGGAGATTGCAGGTAGTACCGCTCAGGACTCAGGCTATCTAGACCGTAGCGCGCAGGCGGGGGTGGTGGTGGTGGTGGTGGCGGCAACACGTCTTCCTCAGTTGGACACGGAGAGCTCTTGCGCCCGCCATCCGCGACCTCGGCCGCCGCCTTGGATGGCATCTGGCCGGCAGTGACGAAGGGCGGTGTCTCGCCCGCCGCCTCGGCCTCACCTAACAGGCTCGCTGCCGGCCCAGAGGCGCCTCCGAACTTTTTCGGCCCCTTCTCCAAGTCCAGGCGCGGCGGCGACCCAGTGTTGAGGTGTCGCGTGGTACCGCCGGCTCTCCCGCCCGCGGCTTCCAGCGGATAAAACGGGGCGCCCGGCAGATTAGCAGAACCGCCTAGGAGTTGCTCCCCCAGTTGCATCTCGCCAGGAGATTCTCCCCTCGCCTCCGCCCAGAAGTGCCCCTTAACGCTCGAAAAACAGCTCTAGCGAGAGCCGCAGACAGCGCGCACCTCACCCCTCCCGAGGTCTACGTTTCCCAGACGTCTTAAAGAAAGAGAAAAGGTCGTTAGCCGCTCTCTGTGGCGACCTATTGAAAGCCACCCAGCGCCCCCGTCCCTTTAATCCCATGCCAGTGACTGCGCCCGGCCGCGCTCGGGAGCATGTATACATATATATAGGCGCGCGCGCTTCTTTCTTGTAGCCGGGGAGGGGCTTGGAGGCGGTTCCACTCAGAGACGAACTTCTCTTATTCTCGTCCACCTATTGGCTAAGCCAGGAGACACTAATTTAATTAGACAGTCACTAATTGAAACAAGTCATCTGTGACTCCTGGAGGGCGGTACATTTTTAAAGTCACCCTTCTCTTTGCATTGTTAAATAATTTCGATGAACCAGAAAAAAAATATGAAAAAGTTTGCCTGTGAATAAGACGGATTTAAGTTTTTCTTCCGCGAAAAGGAAAAGAGAAACGTTTATTAACTTTTAAAAGCGTTCGTCTCAACTTTAAGGAAAACGGAGTCCGTAGGTGTCTGGTTGGTTCTTAGACTGCCTGCCACGGCAAGCCCGAAATCAACTTTCGGGGTCACAGAAAAGAAGGGCCACTGCCTTTGAGTTCAGCGCGATGGTCTACCCGTGAAGTCACCGTCCCCCGCAACAGGCGAAGCCTTATTTCGCCAGCCCTCTCGGCCAAGCAGGGAGAGGAGACGCGGCGGGGGGGGGGTCGCCTTCAGCATCGGCGGCAGGGGGGGACCCGTCCCGTGCTGCCCGTTGTTTGTGTGTGAGTGAGTGAGAGAGAGAGAGAGAGAGAGATTCTCAGGGCTCTGCGAGGGAAGAAGTGGATGAGGGGAACAGGAACCTCAGGAAACAGGGAAGAGATTTTCCTGTTGCACTCACGGAAGGCGACTTGTATACGATATTGGCAAGGGGGAATTTTACTTTGCTCCTCGACCACCGGGCCTTGCAATTTCAATCCTCTTTCAAGTATGTACAGAAAAGTTGTCATTAGTCTGAAAAGTAATACAAGGCGTTTATTTACCACCAGCTATTCTAACGGAAGCTGCCCGAGATTCGGGCAGACCAAAACTCTTGCCACCCCACGCGCTTTTTTGCTGAGGGCAAGATCCTGTGAATTCGGCTTAGCTTTCAGAGGCATAAAAAGGCCTGCGCCGTTAAACTGCAATCTGTAAGACTGGAGGCTAGTCTCCTTGAATTTAATGAGCTTTAATTCCAACGCGGGCTCAATAGAAGTAGGCTTTGGAATTGTTCGTGTGCATGTGCTTTCTGGATTTTATTTCTCGAATACGACTAGAGAATAACCCAGGTAAACCGCTGAGAGAGAAAGCAGAGATTGTCCACCAAATTTCAGTGAGGACGGGACCAAAAGTACTGAGCTTGCTTAGGGAGATCTTCGATCCCAATAGCCCTTACCTTGATTTGGAACCCTGGCTGATCCGAAGACTATTGGACTGGAAATTGATCACCTGCAAGCAGCACCGCAGTGCACGTTATTAGAGGAGCTTTTGCGCAACGACTCCTGGAGGTTACGCAAGAACACGCCCAACGGCATGACGCCGCCAGCAGTAACACGTTAAGTCGAGGGAATTCCGGAACTTTCTCCCTCAATAACCAAGAGGCTTTTTCCAAATCTGTCCTGGGACGTAGCGCAAACTTCTGCGTGCTTAGTGGACGTTTCCTCATTGTGTTTCGCGAAAGCCTCCTTTAAAAAGTCGAATAAGGAGCTGTGATAGGGCGAGAGTTCAGAGTTGCAGTGAGTTTAGCGTCTACCGTAGATACCGGGGGATTCTTTCCCGCAGCGTCTTCGTTATCCGCCGTCACGAAAAATCTCCAGTTAACAAACCAAATAAGGAAAGTACCGTAAAACGAGATTGATCGCGGCTGTACGGTAATGTGTTTTAAAGCTTAGCGTTCCCCTGTTTCTCAAATGTCTGAGAAATTCAAAATTCGTTCCTAAAAAACAACATGCCGTTTAAAAGCGAAACGAAGCAGGTCTTCTGATGTGCTTGCAAGATGTTCGAAGGTCCTGCTTTAATAAATAGGGGGTCGTTGGTAATAATTCTTCAGACTGACAGCTTAAGCCTATCTTTTTATAACAGAACATGAAAGATCGGAAGAACGTAATTTTTCCCCCTGCGTGTTAGTTTCACCTTAAGTGAGTACATGTATCGATTAAACTGCGTCTATTGAAAAAAATTAAAAACCTATAAATTAACTCTTTAAAACTCTTTAAGATATGTAGCATGCATTCCCACTTCTTTTTATAAAATGCTGGATAAAAAATTCGTTGATTTCATTGAAATTTAGTTTGAAATCAACCTGTGAGACACAGTCTTTCTTCCTTAGTTAATTCCTCCTTTCTATAAATGAAGCAAGTTGTAAGTTACAGAGAATTTGTCCTTTTGTGAGATAAAACTATCATGTAACATAAGTTTCCCTGTTATTTCAAATTTTTGGCTGGATTCACACATTGGGTAAATCTTAGATTGTTTAACTCTTGGTACATCATTAAAAACCAAATCACAAATTGGCTTAGCTTAAGACAGAGTGTGAATCGAGCTAATGCTCTGAAGGACAGCGAATTTCTACCATTGGCAGCCAGTTTTGTAAGGAAAGATCTCCTTCACTTTTAACAGAAAGGTGCTACAATTTCCATAGAGCCACATGACAAGTAAAGCCTTACCCGTATTTTCTTTGTGCAGAGTTTCACTTTACCAAACAATTAACTTTGTCTTGTTTCATTTCGAAATGAATTTTAAATGCCCAAGAAGGATTCTTTCACTGAAAAGTTAAAACAGTGAAAGTTCAATATTTCATTTTAAAAACATATGAATGAAAATGAATTACTTGGGAATAAATAGTGGTTTACCTTTAAGCAACACTAATCACAATGAGATATGGGTCTCTTCACAACTTAAAGAACAGCACTGTTGGATTCTCTCCTTTCTCCTGAACTAGTAAGTCCATAAAAGTTCAGATATAATTTTTGCTGTGCTGAGTTTAGGGAGATTCAAGATATTCTGAACTTTCTCATTCATAGTTAGATAGAAAATTTTATGTCAATCTTAATAAATTATTCCCCACTTTCATGCAAGAAATGAAACAAGAATTGGGATTATCATCTCAAACTCTCATTCCAAAATCACTTGCTTATAGATCCTGTTGAATTTTGAGTGGAGCTTACTTCTGAGTAAGCATTTTTTAAATTATGAGATTATATAGCCTTGCTCACTTTCCACATTGATTAGTTTTACCTATTTTTTTTATAGCAAACACTTGTTGCATCCACCATATTTCAAGCAGAGCAGAATGAATTATTAATGTGACCATTCAGCACCTTGGAGAGTGGCAACACAGATTATGAACTACCTGTACTTTCATATTATTTACTAAGCAAAGTGATTTTGCTAATGGCATTGCATCTTCCTTCCATTTTGTCAGTAGATTTCCAAAATGCACCCTTGCCACATTTAATAGTATTTTCCTGCTGTCTTTGGGCAACAATGCTACCTTCCCCACCACACACACATCAGTAAACAGCTGATTTTGACTGTAGTTTAAACTTAAATCAAACCTGGCTACATTAGAACTTTAATAGCTATATTTAGAGTTTTCAGTGCCTTTGTCCTTCACCAAGATGTTGAAGTTAGGTTTGCCTATTTAACAAACTTTTTAAAAATAAAATTAATGCAGCCATATTAGTCTACCGGCAACCTCCTAAAATTTTAGCTGGAGCTATCAAAATGTCATAAAGTATGACCTTTCCAGCTAACTTCTAGTTTTTCTGTTCTAGGTTTTATCCCCAGGAAGGGGGGCAAAAAAAGTCATGCCAATACAAAGGATGGAACCATGATTCCCATGGAATTGAAATTTGGCAAATTTTCAATGACAAAAATTACCATGAAAGCATTAATGACAATAAAAAATACATTTTGTATTTGAATGTACTATGCAATTCAGCATGGGCTATTTTCAAGGCAGATACATCTCTGAATATACCTCATCTTTCCCAGTGAAGTAGTATATAGAAGTTCTGTCAATGTTGAAAACGTTGAGGAATCTGATAAAGAAATAATTCTGAAAAGATGACCCAATGGGACACAGTTTGTCTAGTAAACTACAAAAATTCTTGTGCCTATAACATTTAGTTGGATGAAATGGTGCACCATAGGGCAAAACACTAAACCAAGTTACTTCAAATGGGCTAGCTTACAGAATGTATCCAAAATTTAAGACCCAGGATTCCCATGGAATTGAAATTTGGCAAATTATATACAGTGCTTTATGATATAAGAAACATCATACAGCATTTTATAACAACATACAAAATGTCATAAAACATATCCTATGGTCAACTTTTGTTGTTTGATTGTGCTATATAGTTTATGATGGGTTCCTTTCAAGGCAGATACATTTCTGAATATTTCCCTGAATTGTTAAGAACTTTTCCAGTACATTAGAAGTTCTGTCATTGTGGAAGACATTGAAAAATATCTCTGAAGTTATGATGCAAGGCATCATGGATTGTCTAGTTACATATATTCCTAACTAGGTCTCCCTGACAAATGTAAGTTTTCTTAGGCTAGGGCTAAAAAGAATTATATCAACATTCACTGCAGTTGAAAAGAAAATGTGTGTGTGTGTGTGTGTGTGTGCGCGCGCGCGCGTGTGCACATGTGTATATAACAGTGTCAGTGTCAAATATTCTCTCTCCATGCTTTCAGAAAGGCCTTGAAGTTCCCTTAGAAACTTAATAAAGTTTAGAAAATAAGGATAACTTTTGTGAATCTTTTCTCTATCCACTACTCTGATCTCACAGAATTCCAGTGTAGTTTTAGTATCATTTGTTAGATCAGAATCTGCATAAATATTAGATGGAACCCTATTCCATCAAAACTTCTTCTCT